GGAATGTTCCACGTCCACGGTTCAACTTTGGAAATGATCATGCAGACAATGGACCCCGGACTAGGTGCGTAAAATAACATAATTTATAATAAGATTTAGGCATCTTAATTTTTATCAATTCATCAAAAAATGATGAAAATATTAACAAACGAACCAAGCTGCCAGCTTCAACGTGTTCATGATCATTACGATGCAATTTCTGATTAAATTGGTGCGGGTGGATATCCCATTTTTGGAAGAAGGTATAAGGGCAATTCGATGACCCCACGAGGCCTATTCATGTAATTGTGGAAGATTTCTACGATCCCTTCTTAAAACATTCCAAGCAACGTAAAATAACATAATTTATAATAAGATTTAGGCATTTTAAGTCTTCTTATTTCATGAAAAGATGATGACCATATGAACAAACAAGGCAAGCTGTCAGCCTTAACGTGTTCATTATCATTACGATGCGATTTCTGATTAAATTCGTGTAGATGGGTATATCATTTTTGGAAGAAGGTATAAGGTCGATTGAATGACCCCACGATGCCTATTCATGTCATTGTGCAAGATTTCTACGATCCCTTCTTAAAACATTCCAAGCAACGTAAAATAAAATAATTTATAATAAGATTTCGGCATTTTAAGTCTTCTTACTTCATAAAAAATGATGAAAATATTAACAAACGAAGCAAGCTGTAAGCCTCAACGTGTTCATGATCATTACGATGCCATTTCTGATTAAATTGGTGCGGGTGGATATCCCATTTTTGGAAGAAGGTATAAGGTCAATTGAATGACCCCACGATGCCTATTCATGTCATTGTGGAAGATTTCTATGATCCCTTCTTAAAACATTCCAAGCAACGTAAAATAACATAATTTATAATAAGATTTCGGCATCTTAATTTTTCTCAATTCATGAAAAAATGATGAACGTATGAACAAACGAAGCAAGCTGCCATCTTCAACGTGTTCATGATCATTACGATGCAATTTCTGATTAAATTAGTGCGAGTGAATATACCATTTTTGTAAGAAGGTATGAGGGCAATTTACTGGTCCAACGTGGCCTATTTATATCATTGCGGGGGGATTCTACGATCTCTTCTGAACAAATTCGAAGCCACCTACAATATACCAATTATTAGAAATTTACTTTTTCATGATTCATCCTCTCATGTGCTACCCGACTACACTATCAACATACAAAACCCGCTCGTTCGAGTTGCCAACCTGAACTTGTCCATTTGGCATTTGGCTTCGACTGTTCCTGATCCGTCTGCCCATGACCAGCCAACGATTGGCTTTGCCCTCTATTCCAAGACGACCGTTTACCACAGGCAGTATGCCCGGACAACTTGAGCAGGTGAGCAGCAATTCTTGAAGACCATCCATTTCGTAGATGCGAGAATTTCTTCGGAGTAGCCGTTTATGTTGGTTTGTCCTCGGCTGTCGTCGTTGGTGACGCTTGCCTCGGGAGCCTTCCAGAGCTGAATGCTCCAGATCGCCCGACCTGTCGAACGCCCTGCCGGGATACGAACTGCGCTTGTTCAGCCTGCCACCAGCTTCCGAAGTCGTCTGTTGTCGAGACGACGGCGGTACCATCTCTGAAAGTCGTTGACGTCGTTGCTTTCGCAGCCAACGACGTCGCAATTGTCGCTCATTCTCCCACTCCTTTGCACCGTCCTCCACACCGGCCTTCTGCTCGGCCGTTTGGACAGCTGCCACCGGCCGCGAGTATGTGTCCCGAGGGTGGGTGCCATTCTCGACGGTGTCGACGGTCTCAACGGTGGGATAGCCGTTTCTCCGGATCAGTTTGAACGGTTTTGTCCGACCACCAAGCGTCAGACGCAGGCCAGAATTGTTGTCGACAAGGTGGATCTCGCGAATATCCGCTCGCAACACTGAGGCATTCGAGTGTGCAAGAGAGAGGGCAACAACAACGATAAAATGAAGCAGAAAAAGAAGAAAAAAAGTAAAAGCTGGAAATCAGGTCAAGCATACGTAGTCATAATTCGATACAAAAGCAGTCGTTAGAAGTGCCTCCCAAAGCGTTGTTTGTAACTGGACAAATATTACTTTTCTTTCCCGACGGTTTTTGACTAAGCTTACTCGAGGCAAGTGTAATCCTCTTTCCGGAGGCACGATTCGATCTGGTCTACGGCTAGTTTTTGTTAAGTTTCTTTGGCTGGAGATGAAGCTAAACTCTTTCTGTCAACTTTAAAACAGCGGAAAAGTGGTGCTTTTCAGACGGTTCAGCATCAACGTGTGCTATTTCAAAATAAAGGTCATCCTGTCTCCAGCAACAGGGACAGAAATGCAAGTAACACTTTCTTCCAACCTGCATTTAACCCTCACCCTTGGAGAAGTCTTTTTCTTGTTGTTGTTCCACCTTAAAGAGCCCTATAATATGACTTTTGGGTATTTTTCAAGTAGGATTTGAAGTAAAAATAGACATGGCATAAATGCAAGGCTATAAATCACACACATTTTACGTAACTCCAGGTGGGCGAATTCGTGAAGAAGACAGGAAACAAATAGGACACTAATTATTATAATTTTTATTAGTCTCACTTTTCTTGGTGTCTCTGTGATCAAATTTGCGTAAATTGGAAGTGTCTTCAAAAAAGAATGTCAACAACTCGTGGTTATCATGGATTTCTCCAATATCGGAGCCTCGATTGGGATATGAAGAAAAATTGGTTTTTGAAGAATCTCTTAGTAGATTGATACTTGCATACCTTTCATTTTGTGTAGGAATACAGAAAGAGTGTTGTCTTAGACGCGTGGCTGTTGAATTGTGTGAAGAAGACTTCGGTTTACCGTTCTACAGCCCCGATGACTCCGTGGTGTGACGGACATCGTCAGAACCAGAAACTATTATTCACAAACAATCACGAAAATATACTGAACCGAGAAAGGTGCCAGACTGAGATGATACTTACTTCTTATGCCTCATTTCGCGATCATAATGTGGCATCCCGCGATTTGCTTGGCTGCTTTATTCTTGTCATGCATGCATGCTTGTTCGTGAATAATGGTTTCTGGCTCCGACGATGTGCGTCACATGACGGATGAAAGCTGAATACAGAGTCATCGGGATTGTAGGACGGTGAGCCGAGGTCTTCTTCACATACTTCAACAGTCAAGAGTCAAAGTCAATCCTCATTCGGTATTTGGTGAGACCAATTTACGAATCACCTACACCCGCTTTCTCAAAACGAAATCAAAGGTATGCCAGTACCGGCATTTCAAGGAATTTCGTAAATAAGCCATTTTGTTTGGTGCTAAGCTTGCGGCCGGTTGTCAAGAGCTCTAGTGACGCATCGTGATCTTACAGCATTCCAAGACATTTCGTCAG